CCCCAAAACCCCAAAACCCCAAAACCCCAAAACCCCGTGAATATTGAAATAGTTTTTGCATAAACATAAGTTAAGTGCTTAAATGATTAAATTGTTCAACTAGATCAAATTCATAGATTAACCTTATTAGTAAATTTTACTTAGGAATTAATATAATTCATTTTCCTATTAAGACCTATGTTTTCAAAAATATTTTCTAAAGCCCACTCTAGCAATGTGGTACACTTCAACTCTCGTTATTTCTCCGCAATAAAGAGACATGCACATATTCTAGGTTATCCCTTCGCTGGTGGTCAAGGTAGACAAGGTCCAGAGCTTTCTCCAGGCTGGTTATTCGAATAGCCTTGGATCTAACCTAGAGATGGATTAACATTAGAAATGATTGATGTATCTAATCCCAGTTCAAATATCACACCTGATAAAAGCATAGTCCATGGGCACAGATTCGGACAAAAAAATTGGAATAATGTTCTCCATTCATGCCAGAAACTTGAAGAAGCAACTGAGAGTACTCTACTGAAAGATCATTTCCCAATTGTTTTTGGAGGAGATCACTCTTAAGGTATCGGTTCAATTAATGGTTTGAAAAATGTATATCCAGACGCCAGAGTGCTCTGGGTTGATGCTCATATTGATGCAAATACACCACTGTCAACACCCTCTGGAAATGTGCATGGTTGCCCAGTAGGCTACTTATCTGGGCTTTTCCCCTATGTGAAGAAGCCAGTATTATCTCTGAAACATCTGATCTATTTTGGGATTAGATCATGGGAGCCGGAAGAGAAATAACTCGTAGATGATAATTAAATCCCTTGGTTTAGATCAGAAGACTGTTTAGTTGAGAGGATGGATGAGATAAAGGCAAGCGTTGAAGCACACATGTTCCCAGATGGAGTGAAAGTACCCTATTGGATATCATTTGACATTGATGGAGTAGATTATCATGAATTTTAATCCACAGGAACCCCAGAGTCTCTTGGTTTAACTATCAAATTCATGCTTAAGTTCCTAGAAGTATTCTTGCCAGAATCAGTAGGCATGGACTTCACTGAGGTCAACTTTTTAATGTCTTAGGGTGAATAAACTGAAAAGGACAAAGAAACAATCAAGTTTTTATTAGAGTACATCATTGACAAAATACATTAATAAGATTTCAAATATAATCACTCCAATTACCCCAAAAACTAGTGAATTAGATCAATTTGATATGAATGCAACTTAGAAAAGAGTGAAGATTAAGAGTATAAATAGAAGAACTTATATAAAGATTCAATATTTTAATACATTAATAATTCTTTGGTTTATTGCATATGATATAACACAGAATTTGAGGGTATTTATATGCCATTTTGTTTCTCAGTAATTCTTAATCTACTAATTATGTCCATATATATAAGCTGGTGGGGTTTTGGGGTTTTGGGG